CACAGCTGTGCTGTGTGTCATAGGTGCCACAGTCCAGTTTGATGGACAATCATGGTCTCAACTTCCCAGGCACCTACAATGACTAATGGAACTAGTTTGCTGTTTCCTAATCTTAAATGGAGATGCCATTGATCAAACCAGGTGTTTAATTTTGTAAATCATATTTTGTTGAAATCCTGATCCCAAGTACAGACTGTAACTTCATTTGAAGACAGGACCTTTGAAGAGGTAATTAGGGCATGGTTGGCAGAGAGGTGGCACAAAGCCCTGGATTTGAACTCCCAGCACCACATAAACTAGGCATGCTAGTGCAAACCTACAATCCCAACACTAGGGAAATAGAGGCAGGAGGATCAGGAGTTCAAGATCATTCTCAACTACCCAGTGCTCTCCAAGCCAAGATGAGCTATATGAGACACTGTTTAAAAAGTAGAGCCAGTCTGGAGAGCACAGTTCTGAAAACTGGCTGAGGAGTGCCCCGAGGGTGCCCAGCATCAAGTTGCAGAACAATCACTGAGGCTACAAACTCTTACAGGACGGGCTGAAATCTTCTCAAGATGAGTGGGGAAAACCCAGGAGGCAATGGAAACTGCCGTGGCCCAGAATAACCTGAACTCTTATGGCAGGACCCAGGACCCATAAGAACCCACATCTCTGTGGCTTCTAGGAAAACCACTTCCTGGATGAGGAGGTGAGGCTCCTCAAGAAGCTGGACAGCCATGTGACCAACCTCTGTAGGCTGGCTCCACCTCTGCCGCTCTCAAGCATGACTAGAAAGTGTCCTCACCTCCCAAGGGGCTTCCTCCTCTGCTCTGCAGCAGACAGACTCAGGGCCTCTACTTAAACATACCTCTGAAGCCATGAGTCAGCTTTGTAACAGCCCCAGAGTCCTTCCCAGGCCTTGGACCAAGTTAAAATAAAGAGAGAGAGAGAGAGAAAGAAGGGAGGGAGGGGGGAGGGAGGGAGAAAGAAAGAAAGAAAGAGGGAGGGAAGGAGGGAGGGAGGGAGGGAGGAAGGAAGGAAGGAAGGAAGGAAGGAAGGAAGGAAGGAAGGAAGG